AGAGTCCGACTTAAAAGAGCTGCATAAATGTAAATGTGTGAGTGTGCACTGGATGGACGAGTTGAACAACAAGAGCGGCCGCAGCATGAACATTGTGTCAACGGTGTAATGTAAGCAAAGAAGCAGCAGCCTGCCACACACTCGTACTCGTACACGCACCCAAACCCAAACCTAAGAAGCGGGTTTTGGCAAAAAACGCCAAGGCAATGAAACAAATGTACCACAAAAACTGTTGACGACACATTGAGAACGGAATAAAAGAGCGAAAGAGAGCAAGACAGTCAAACGGACGATAGGGAGAAGAAGGGGGGGAATTACGGACGCAGGACTCAGAGGAAAAAGGGATAAAATAAAATAACAACAGGAGGAGCAACGGCAGCAGAACGAGAAGATGGGGAAGTAAAGCCATGAAAACGGATTAATAGCGAACACAGGTACAAAAGAGCTACAAAAGTAACAAAATAATCTTTGAGGAACTACAGTCAAGATTCTGTAGGTGAAGGAAACCCATAACTTTTTGAACGTTTTCTGTATAGGTTCCACACTTTATGAACTAAATGAATGAAACTTCGAAAAATGAATTGGTTGTATCGCGAAAATCTTTACATAAATTTTCCATTTTCAATATATTTAACTCAAAATATCGTAGTCTTCTTGATTATGCCCATTGCATGTACAAAGAACCATAGATACTATTGCAACTAAAGCGAGTTCGAAATACAGGAACTTCTAGTTGCGAAAGTTCGACAGGTACTTATGTACATATTATGTTGAACTTCAAGATTAAACGTTAAAAAAAGTTCTCTGCAAATGACAAATAATGGTTTAAGCTTATTTGTAGTTTTCCAAATGTTTTTGACTTATAAAAGTTCAACCGTTCATTGATCAATTTCAAACTGTATTTCATTATTGGCATTTGGCAATTGTTTAATTAATACGACCTTTTGGGCCAGCTACGTACGACCCACACACACAGTCGAACAGACAGAAAGACAGGAAAAGAGAGCCAGAGCGAAAGATGGAAGCAGGGCCAAAGTGTGATAAGCACGTAGCCAAAACGAAACGAGATTATTAATCAATCCGCAAGATACAGATGCAGATACCACATGAGTGAGTGAGCGAGTGAGTGTTTGGATAACGAACACACCGAAATACGTATGTACATGCATGTGAGCAGGGCGGATATAATCGCAATCGATATGCAATGGCGACACATCTTCGGCAAATGCACTCACTCACACCACCACCACAACTCGCGTGCAAGATCATCGAGTGGGGAACGAAAGAGAAGGCGGCAGTTCCCTCTTCTCTATCCTAAATTTGACTAAACTAAATAAGGCAAAGAGAAAAAAAGACGATCAATAACAGGTAGGCAGAGTCGGCTCTCAATGAGATTTAAACTCGAACGCCGACACGTATGTTGATGGACTGACCATTCGAAATTTTTGGGTAGACAGTGACTTTTCCCATTTTTTAACGACTGACAGGTGTGTAGTGAAAAATGCGCCGTCGCAGCAGCTGCATCTTACAAATGCACTCAGCGAAGTAAGAGAAGAGCAACAATGCGACAGCAACACGTGAGGCGCACGCGCACAGTGGTATGTTTTAATGATGATTGCTTCAGATAATTAAAATTTACAAAAAACGTGAACAAGAGGATATATAATGTTAATAATATATTTGAAAATGTATTTTCCCAATTAAGTGAAAACCACTAAACTTATTTTGATTTGCACCACTGTACGTTGCAATACCGGCCAACAAAAGCCAAATGCTAATAAAATAATAAATCGAATGGCAACAACAAAATATCCATTATAAAAGAGAGCAACGACAGCGGTCAGCAGAAGCATCCAAGCAAGTCGAAGGTGGGCCCGAAGATGGACACGAAAAGAATTGCAAAGCCCACACCAGAGCACTCACACGGACAAGAGGAAAGCCAACAACTTCTCTATGCTCGGTGTTCTAAATACACGTTGCAAATACGAAAAGAAATCAACAAAACAAAGCGAAAAATGCTTTTAAGCTGCAGCAGCAACATAACGTGCAAAAAAAAGCAAGAGAGGAGGTAAGATGGGCAGAAAGGGCAGTGGAATGGGAGCTTAAATGAGCACAATTAGGCGGCTTTATCGAAACCTCGCGGTATGCGAAAGAAAGGGACAGGGAACTGAAACAGGAACAGGTCACCATTATCCCCATCTTCTTTTTTCGCCTCCAAGTCACATATTGCGCTCGATAATTCAGTTCGTGAGAGCAGAAGCAACAGCAGCCGCCTAAAGAGAGAGTGCCATCCCCCGCCCCTTCAGACATTTGGGTGGGCGCACACAAAAAGGAAAAAATTAAACATTGGATAAATCCTGAAAATGTAAAATTACAAACACACATTTCAGACAGAAACGGTGAGGGGAAGCAGGAGGGAGACAGAGAGTGAAGCAACCTCGCATGGAAAACTAATACATACAAATGTGGCAGCGCAAGTACAGCCAACGTAGCTAGGCAGCAAACCCAAAACCACCCGATGATATCGAATGCCCTACAACAACAGCAATACGACCAAGTCGTCCACCAACGCCACTGCTTACGTCGCCGCAGCAGCAACAATCATCGTCACCAAAGAACTTCACTTCGTCAATACAACAACATAGGCAGCGGCAGCAACAACCACTTGGCTTTGCTCTTCTTACTACTGCCGCATGCTTCCTCCGCCCCCACTCCGTACAATCTGTCTTGCTCCTGCCGTTGTTGTTGTGGGTTTGATTGATGGCACGCTGCCTTTGCGCTGCTTCTCTGCCTTTTGATAAAAGCGGCGTTACCATTCAGTGCTGACCGCTTGGCCAAAATGTGTATCCCAAATCTGGTCTTTCTTAGTATTTCATCCAACATTTCTGAATTACCATGTATGCATTGGAAAAAGATAAATTTAAAAAATTGGTGTCCAACGAAATGTCTTGGCTTTCAGGACGTTATGATTTCCTTAACTTCTTTGACAGCTTCTCAGGTATCGATGATGCCCAAAACGAGCATCACAGTCAGATCCTTAAACTAAACTGGTTTTTATAAACAGTGGAAATCAGTGAAGTATACATCTCCGACCCATAAAGTATATATATTCTTGATCAGCATCACCAGGAGAATATATCTAGCCATGTCCGTCTGTCCGTTTCTACGTTTTTATAGCTTTAAATTTATCTCTCAGTTTTATACATAGCTCAATGCATGTAACTTTTCAAGCTTACGAATACAAATATGGTAAAATCATATGTATTCAAGTCAGTTGATGTCAAATCTTAAAATACCTAAATACTTTCTTATGCCTGAATCGGCCTTTATTTGTCGCATCTCTAACAACTGCCACACAGTGGGAATGCGGCGAATCAAAGCGTCGGGTTGTACAATGGACTCAGGCTTTGCGCTTTGGCTCATAATTTGACCCAAGCTTTTTGGCCAACACTTTGCGGGTTCCACTGTGTCGCTCGCGTTTCTGCTGTGGTTGTTGTTGCTGTCTCAAGGGGCAGCAAAAGGCGATGCAGAGCAAGGAGACGAAAGCAACGGTTTTCTACTAGGCAGATGAGTCGGGTGGAAAAGGGGGCGAAAAGAGGTGGAGTTTAGTGTATTGCTGTTTTTGTTTCTGACGCCGAGTGTGTAAAGTGGTTTGACATTTCCTCCGTTTTGGCCGCTCATTCGCATTCGCGAGGTGAAATGAGATGAGAAAAAAGCTATCAAATCCAATGAGAGGACCAGGAGAATAATCTGAGCATCGTGTGCAACGCGTTTCGGGTTCAAATTCGAGTGTATGTGTTTCTTTTATTTTGCATAAAGTAAGCATAAGTGTATTTGCTGTCGGTTTTCTGCTATATCGCTGCCATCTTTTCGTTTTCTCCTCTTTTTTTTTTTTTGTTAATTCGGTGAGACTCGCACACACAAAATAAAAGGGAGTACACCACAGTCACACGGCAAATTGACAGACTTCTAACCTCCAAAAACCAAACCCCACACATATCAGGTTGGTGTTGACTTTGCTTTTTTATTTAGTCGGATTTCCCGAATTCTTTTTTGTCTCTTACATCCCCCCCGGCTAAACAGATGGGTCGATAAATGTTAAGAATGCGGCAGCATCGAAATTTTTCAGAAAACGTCCAAAACGATTCGAAGCATTGTCGACTAATTTTACATCGAGAAGTTTACAAGGTAAAAAACAATTCAGTAAACACGTAAAATATTGGTTTTATGGTCCAGTTACTTTTCCTGATGCACAAAAAAACATTTTTATATGGTATACAACAATATTTTTTAAATAATGAATTGATTAAATTCGATTTTTGAAAAAATATCAATTTTTATGGTCAATTTCGATATAGCAAAATTTGGTCAAAATTGGCTTACCAGAACTCAAAATGAAAAATATAACTGTGATAAAAAAAGGCGAAAACATAAATGTTAAATATCAGTTTCGAAATCAGGGAGTCAAACTGCATCGGAAAACCAAACATTTATCTTTGAACTTAATTTATCGATTTAATTTCGCAAAACCAGTGTTAGCTAAGATATTTTTTTAAAATGTAGTCACGTTAAACTTATATTTTAACATATTACAAGATTTAAAATTCAGTCGGTTATAATAAAGGTAATCGAAAAAATGTTATTGTTAGTAATCGGTTATTTCGATACTTTGGTAAGTCATGCAGGTTAGTATGATATGCAAGTGTGGTTAGTAGTCCTTTTGTGTAGTGGCGTTGTTTTTATATGTCAGTGTTTTTGTGATTGTCTCTTATCAATGAGTTTATTGGACTGTTCACGGTCTATTAGTGCCTCAAAGGGTGGCGTTTTGTGTTTTGTGGGTTGTATTTTTTTTGGCCTGGTCACCGAGTGGTTGTTCAGGATTGATTGCAATGCACGGGGGTGTGAGGGGGGATTGATTGAATGGGCAAGGGGTTGATTGTTCAGACTGGTAGTGTAAGTGCTTATAATATATAGAGAGGCGGTACTCATCACTAGCTTACATTGTTCATGCTGACCAGGTACATGGCCAGTTTATTGATGTCCAAATTGGCCAGCTGGCTGACGTCGGTGGTGTTGAGTATGCTGAGCATCAGGCTGATGTCGGATGCAGTGGGCATGGCTGGCATTACTCCAGCTCCGCCCGAGCCCCCCTGCCCGGGTCCAACACCGGATCCTCCGGCGGCTGCCGCAGCTGCTGCGGATGTACTGGCCCCCTGTGATTGCATCAACGCCTGGAGACTCCGGCCGCTGGCATCGTGCTGGCCAGAGGATCCGACTCCGGAGCCACTGCCACCGGAGCTGCTCTGCAGCTGCATTTGCATGGACTGAAGAGTAGGCGTGGTGGGGACCGACAGCGGGGGCGTCGATGAAACCAATGCCTGGAGCTGTGGGACAAATGGAACAATCACAAAAAAAAATATTTGGAGGAATTGGTAACATCGCAAAATCAGCAACAAGATCAGATAACATGTCATGGAATCAAGGAGATGAGTTTATTGAAATGGTCTTTATGGTTAAGGAATTACGTGTAATCCTTTGTCAGCGGATTTACATAGTTTTGTTGATCAGTTGTTGGCTGCTTTAGGTTATTTCTTTGCCTTACACTTTTAGACACTTTGGATGGTTATCGAATTCGGTTTTAATTTTGGATCCGTTTTTCTGTCCGAGTCTTGGTCCACGGTCCGTTCTGTACGCTAACTACGGTGCACGGTTCGCAACTAACTACGGCCAACAGCTAAGCAACAAAACTACGTACATTTAACACTGGGCACTACAACATAATTAAAAAACAAAGAACAAGAAATATAAAAAAAATAAATAAAATGCCATTTGGGTTAGGAAAGAGACAGATTTGGAAGTTATCTGGGGATTAGGAAATTGAAGAGTTAATTCTAAAATCGGCGATTAAAGCCTTCTAGTTTCGGAGCTGCTTTAACTTTCAAGTCCTGAAAATCCGTTACCATCATAAATATATTAATTTATTCGACCTCAAAGATGGTGTGTGGAGAAATGATTTCAAAATAATAAACCAGTGTTTTACTGAAATCCCTTCCATCTAATATCGCTAAGTCTTTGCATTTGAGATCAAATTTAAAATAAATAATTGAATTTCGTTATAAACCTCTTCTAGCCAAATTTAGTTAGAATCGAAGGTTACATCCATACAAATTGCAACAGACTATGTTGGAAGAACACCGGAAGTCTAAATTGTCTAATTTTAAGCCCTTAAACTCTTAAAATTTTTCATCATTTGATAGATAAGGATTGATATTTTGCATAACGATTTGAATGGCAATGAATGATGATGGGTCACAAAAAATGTTAAAGTGATAGAACGTCAATGGACTCACCTTGGCCTTCTGCTGTAGCTTCAGTTCCTCTTTCTTGTAATTCCTCTGGTAGGCGGTAATCACACGCCGCAGGCGGGTGTTGAGGTCCTGCATCGACGGCCACATGGTGGTGGCATCCTCGACGGCTGCCACGGTGGGCGGATAACTGCCGGCGATGCTCTCTTCCTCGTCCAAGCCTAAATGTGAGTTGGAGTTAGCATGGTCGGTGGTGTTGTTAGAGTTAGCCGCTTTGGATGATGGATTATTGGTGGTGGTAGTGGTGGTATTGGTAATGGTAGTAGTAGTAGTGGTAGTGATGTTTGTGGTAGCATTGTTAGTGCATGATTCCGCTTTAGCGCCTTCAACTCGGGCAATAGCAGCGGTATCTTTTTTGGTTTCCCCAGCAGGAGCAGCAACAGTTGACTCCTTAGTTTCCTTTTCGTTATTTTTTTTCTCCGTTTCGCTGTCCGATTCGCCGGCACAGCCAGTCTTGGCCCCCGTCTCCTGGACTTCTCTCACCGCCTCCGGCGAACTGGAGTCGGCTGGATCGCGGGAAACAGAGGCTAAGACTGGCGCGGTATTTTTAGTTATATCAGGATCTGATGTATCTGCCGATTCTGGAGTCGCTGATGATGCACCCTGCTGGGCGACCGCCACATCAACATCGCTGCCACTGCCCGGTAAGGCATCAGCTTTGGCTTTGGATTTGGATGAGGATTCAGAAGCGGTTGTGGCATCTTTTTCGCATTCCGTTTTGTCGTTGCCGCTGCTGCCACTTTCGCTGCTGCTCTTACCCGACGAACTGGGGCGCTCCGGGTCGAGAAGCAAATCCTTGTTTTCGCCCCCGATGAGTTTGGTGGAGTCCGAGTCTTTGGTCGTGGTGGTGCCGTCGTCGTCCACTTCGTCGCCATCATCGTGCTTCGAATTTGCATCGTCTTCGTTTCTGTGGTGCCACAAAAATGGTTTGAAATTTAGTAATGGCTCGCTGTAATTCGCAGATAGTACATCAGGTGGGGGTCATGCCAAACGCCGCTCAAACGTTCTTAACACACCGAGAGAGAAAATACACAACAGACACGCACACACACATTCAGCGCAATGGATCAATGCTTCTAATGTGTGTGTTAATATATTAACAACAATTTTTTTGCAGTGAATTTTAAAGTTTGATTATTAATGTCTTACAATAAAGTTGGTCAATTTTTTCTATAAAAATATTTTATTATTTAACAAAGCATCACGAGGGATAACCATTACTTAAACTGCTTTTCAGGAAACCAATTGTTGGTGGGTATACTTTTTTTTTGATTACGTTTTCCATCCGAGTGTGATTTTTGCCCCCAAAATTACTCCACCCATGATTAATGAATGCGTGTGTGCGTGGGAGTGGGAATGGGAATGATTTTGACTAGTTTATGTTCCTTTCGCTTAGTTCCCAGATTGTAACATCTGTCTGAACTTGGGATGTTCTCTTAATTTTAGTACTTGTGTTTGGCGTATGTGGATTAGTTGATGGCATACATGAATGGATGCTAACTACATTGATTTGTGTTTTTCTCTCCGGTGTGTTTCAGGACCAAGTTTCTAAATGTTTTAATCATTTTTTACCACTTATTTATTGGTAATGTTTTCTTTCACTACTATTATCTTGAAAATTTCAAAGAGTATCAGTATCATCAGTATCAGTTATCATTTTATGTTCCATCTGGAATGTTTACTATCAAATAAAAAACTATAAATCGATAGTCGTTTAAAAACGATTTAAAATTAGCAATACAGTTAAATTTGATTAAATAATCTAAAGATTACTTATTATGATGTAACTGAAAGGTGTATTAACTGTGGAAATATATTAACTACATTAAAGACACTCTAGTTCTTTGAGTCCTCGAAACACGCCGGATTATATCAGATTTGATTTTATTCGATTTGAAAAGACTTACATCGGCAAATTCGTAGCAGCCAGATCGTCACCGGCCGCACCGGCGCCCACATGGGTGACAAAGCACAGATTGGGATCGGCGCGCATTTGACGATACATTTCACAGCCATGCTTGTAGGTTCCGACCAACAGACTCTTATCACAACAAATGGGATTCCACCATGAGGATGGCACTTGATCTGGCGTTGGCGGCGGGCGAATGGGGAGCTCGCTACATATGATCGTTTCGGTCGATGAGTACATTCGATAACATTCAAATGTGTTTGGTGGATTTGGGGATTTGAGAGATGCGCGAAAATAGAAATGCGTTGGTTTAGTAAAAATTCAATTTTGTTTCTTCAAAAATTTCGGTTTGATATGAGGTTAAATAAAAATAACGTAAGAAAAAACAAAAGAAAAATTAGAAATTATAAGAGGTAATTAAAGGAAAGTCATAACATTGTTAATTGCCAATTTGCTCTACAGATTTATCACTACAAAATGCAGAAATTCATAAAAAGCGAAACCCAAAAACCTTTCTTCACCGTCTGCTTTTTTTTTTAATTTGGAATTCGATCAAAAATTATAAATTAACGTTTTGAATTGATTATATAATTTTGGTTGTTTTCTTTCGTATTATGAGGACGACTGAATGTGCAAAGGATATAGAGATAAAGAGTAACGTGGATTTCCCTATTCGCCTGCTTCATTTTAATTGCGAGATAAAGCGTGCGTGCAAGCGAGGGGGACGAGCGAGATGACGACCGATATATCGATGGTAGAGGAATATTTGGGGATATTACCTTTCCAGATTCAGATTCAGATTGAGTGCCAGCTGCTGCTTGGCTTTCGAACTGCTGCAGTATTTGGTGGTTATAATATACGTATAGATATTCGCATTGAAATCAATTAAATATGTTATAGGTTGGTTAAACGAATCAAAAGAAAAAACACAAAACAGCGATAGAGGAGAGTCAATGTGCCGAGGATTAGTTGGCAAAATATAGAGTATGAAAGTTATGATTAGAAATGAGCAGAGTCGTGAGAAAGATGTACAAATGCTAGCATTTCAATGGACAAGCGATCGAACGTACAAAGAGAGTTTAAGTTATAAAGATAGACAGGTTTGCATTCCACCTGAACCTTGATATAACAACTGATAATTAAGATAATCAACCAACACAAAGTGCCGTTAAAAAAAATACAAAGTCTTAAAAACAGTTGACAAATTGGCATTAGTAATTAAAGTATATATATATAACAAAAAGTATTCTTAAATAAAAAATAATCAACACTCTCCGGCAATCAGTCAGTCAATCAATCAATCAACAACAACGACAACAAACAAAATTATTAATGAATGCCAAGAGTTTAGCAGGCGACTCAGAGTGCCACGCCTACCTGATAGGAGTATTATCCTTGATCTGCTGAACAAAATCACCAATAACCTCGTGTTGTATATAATAGAGCATCCTTACGCGCAGCAAAACCCTGTAAGTATTTTAATTAAACAAACAAAATGTAAGGAAAATGAAAAATAGAGTGATAAAGTTGTATTAGTAAAAGTTCGTCTTCAATTTCGGGATTAATTTTATAACAGTTCGATTCCACACGACTCACTTATTGGCGTGTCTGCCCAAATGCTTTTTGTAGGCGCCCTCCAAGTACGCATCGGCGTCGTACTTCTCCTTCTTGCTCCAGTGATTGGGGTCGTGAATACTAGTTACCGCTGCGGCCACAGCACTGGCACTTATTCCGCCACCATCCTTGTCGGATCCATCCAGGGCACTTGATTTGTGAGCTGGAGTCGTGTTGCCACTATTACTACCAGATGCAGTGCCTGGAGCAGGTGTAGAAATTCCCGTGGATTCTTTGTTAGACTTGCCCCCATTCCGGCCTATAAAATCAAAAACAGTTTCAAAATATAAGTAATCTCTCTTTGCTTATGCAGCCTTCAGATTGACGACGAATACAAGCCGTAAAACAACTTATAATAAGTCTCAAATGCAAATCACTTTGCAGCTCAACTAGTTCTTTGATCGTTTCCAAAAGGTTTTTTTCTCAGCAAATACATTTTTAAAATATACAATCGGATAAATTATTTATAAAATTATGAACTTAGTAACTTTAACAAAAAGATATCTTCGCTTAGACGAAGTTTAGATGTCTTTGGTGAATTTTTATTTAGAAATTTTATAAATTTAACCATATATAATAATATTAAAAAAAAGTGTTGATATAACTTTAAGGTTAGTTGCAGAAATTGTCTCTTAAAAATATATTTCTTTTCTATCACAAAATTTCCAGACACATTAATTAGTAATGAAAGTTTCGCCAAGCTGTTAAAAAAGTTAAAACAAGTAAATTTGCGATATGAACAGCTATTAATATTAAATATTATTTATAAAAAAAAGTTAAATCAATTTGTATATACAAATAAAAGATTTAATATAGTAAAAGGCAAACAATTGCATGGCAACAAAACATACACACACTTTTCTTTGTCTTGTCGAGTACAGGGGTCATTATAAGTCTCCGTCCTAGTCCGGTTCAAAGTCATTATTAAGAGATTGTGTTTCATATTGAAGTGAATTATTAAATAGGAAGCAAATAGGAAGATCAGTGAAAGTCCATTAGGCAGGCCCGAACACACCACACAAATTAAATTAGGTTGGTGGACTTATAATCTGACATATACGGATCGGAAATTTTAAATTAAATTGGGGGTACTCCAGAGCCTCATATAGATAGTGGTTAAGAGTTTTGTACAAAAATGTGGGTTGTTTTTTTTGAGGCAATTCGATAGGTTTATGTTTCTTCAGGGCACTTTTTTTATGTAACTCTCTACGTCCGTGCAGCAGTTGGGGTGTGCGTGAATGTATCTTTTACCATACCTTTGGCATTCCTACCTCGTGGCACCAAGTTGTGTAGGCCACTATGATCCCTGCTGATCTTCTGCACCTCACCGTCCTCCGTCGGCGTGATCAGGTCCCAGATGAACGTCTTGATTTTTTCGTCACCCTTGTAGACCTGCAGGCAGTAAAGGAGCTGCAAGGGAGTATAGAAATATGTATGTTTATACAAGACGAAAATAATAATGGCCATCTTATCATTGATTTCTTTTTTCAGCGGGTTGAGAAGTTATTTTTTACTCAGCGAAAACCTATAGTTTTCTCAATATTAGCATGGTTGGTCATCATTAAAGTTTATTTTTTTTTGTATTTTTATATCTGAACATTGAGTTTTTTTTACTTACGATGATGCGAGCACAATCCTCGACGTCGATATCGCGCCAACCTCGCTTAAATTGTCCAAGCTCCAGAAGTTCCGACCATCTACCCCAACTGCAAAATAAAGACAACTGTTAGTAAAAAGAACTCACTAACTTTTAACATTTAAATAAATTGTATAATAACAATTAAATGGAGATTTTGTTTCACTTTTACAAAAACTTGAATCCTGACACATCTAGTCATTTAATCATTTTCAATTTATCAATACAAAACGGGTCTACAGTATTATTACACAAATTCAGGAAAAAAATTTCAGCCTTACAAATTCAACAAAGCCAAAAACCAACCAACGAAGTTTCTTGTTGATTTAAGGAGTTCTTCCTCAGCTTTGTTGTTTCCATAAATGGATATGTCAGGACATAGCTTAAAAACCGATACGCAGAGCAGAAGGTCGGTGAAATCTCATGCAAGCAAACTGCATGTATTCGAATACACTGCTCCGCAGGATTTGGACGTTGTGGCCATTATATACAAATTCTATCTAGAGGACTTCCGCAACTTTACAGAAGAGGAGCGCCAAACGCGATTGGCCAGTTTGGATGCTCTTGACATGCTGCGAACCATCGAGCAAGTGCACAATGATGTGGCTACTCTGAGGTTAGAGAATCACATAATGGTGGAGTTCCTCGAAAAAAACGATCCAAAGTTGTTGTTGGGATTGAGGCAGCGTCGCACTTCGATTCTAAGGAAGTTGCAAACAAAAAGGGGATCTGCACAGGGAAGTCATGGCGTGAGTAGCCGGCACTCAAGCTCCAAACGCTCAATACCCATGTCAGTGAATCAGCTGGTCTCGATAAGTGGCATAGCAGCCCCAGAAAAGCGTCGCGGAATGGACTACAAGCTAAACTTCAAGGCCAAGGCTGAAATGGCCGAGAAAAGAGCAGCTGAGGTGGAGAAGCGGGTCACGGATATCGAAAGGAATGGTGGGTCCCAACCTTTATGAGGATTTTGGTAAAATGTATTTTATAAATTTTTTTGCAGCTATGACCGAAGTAAAACAGCTAAGGGCCAAGATCGAGGAGCTCCGTTTTCGAAGTGAGGAAACCATTGAGACGGAGAACAACTTCATGCTTCACTTCCTCAGAGATGAGAATGATGTGGCCTTCTTGGAATCCGCCACCGAGCGGCAGATTGAACGCAAGCTACGCAAGTTTACCACAAATTGGTTTAAAAATGCTCGAGCTCTACTGGGAACTATGAAATTAACCATAGTATCTCTACAAGAAACATGCCAGCAGCATCGGGCCGATCTGATAACGAAATCAGATCTAAGTGGTATCTTGACGGCGGTGGATTTTGAGAAGCTGATTATTAAGAGAACTGAGCTGGTAAATCAATTGGAGGAAAAGAATATCCACATGGCGGGACTCAAAGGAGTCACAGGCAAAACTTCTTTGGCCATGACAGAGGAAAAGCAGGCCATGATGAACTTGGAGACTGAAATGCGCACCGTTTTGAATAGAACCGAAGAAGTCACGCGTGCCATCCAGAAACTTGAGAAGGAGGTAGCCGCCGTTCAAATGCACAACACCAAAGACTACGTGACCCTCGATGAGTTAAGGGCACAGCTCCAGGAGTATGAGGCCCCAAGTGTCAGCGAGTATATCGAGCGGAAGGAGGAAGCCCACGTCCTTGAAAAGGAGGAAAAAATGCTGCAACGTAAGATCTATATCCTCAACATGAAGCTCAACAATGCTATTCGCCGGCGAAACCGACTCGAGGACAATTAGGATAAGGATCATTATTTGTTGCATCACATAAATAAGAAATAGCCTACATGTTTAAAAACCGTTTAATGTACTCTCCGAGTACTTACCCAAACGAAAGCAGCCCCTTCTCCACTTTGAAGCACTCGGACTTCGCCCAGTTGCCATACTGAATCTCCTCCAATCCCAAGGCAGCCAGGGCATCTCGCTCGCGGGGAATGTATTCATCGTTGCCCTTCTTTTCACGGTTGCGATCTCGTTTCTCCTTGCGGCGACGGGAACGAAGGCCTTAGTGGTATAAATGATTAAAATAGCATTCTTCACAATTTTCAGTGGTTTGCCCTTACCTATTCCTCCCTCTTCATCGCTGTTCTCATTGGAGGAATCCTCCGAATTAAGCTCCATTACATCCTCGTGGCCGTAGCGTTTTATTTGGGTGCGTCTTCTTGGTTCGGACAAAACCAAGTCCTCCGTTTCATCCCGCTCGCAAGCATCTGGGTCAATGTCAACCTTCTTGGCCCACTTGGTCCAGAAATCAGGATCATCTATGGTAATATCGGATCGGTTTCCGGAGGCAGCAAATGAAGCTTTCGAGAAGGTTGAACCTTTCTCAGATTCCATGGTTATGACTTGTGTGCGGCGCTTGAGGATTGAATCGATGTCCTCTTCGCAAAACTTGTCACCAGCGTTGTCGTCATCCATGACAGCCCCGTAGGCTCCCTTCTTCAGAAGATCTTCGATCTCCTTCTTAGACAGCTGCTTGTTGTTGCCATCCTTAGAGCCCTGGGTGTTCATCGACTGTAGGACAGCCTTGTCCAATCCAAGTTTCATCGAAGCCTTGTCAAACATCTCCCGCTCATAGGTATTCCTGCATAGCAATCGGTAGATTTTCACCATTTTTCTTTGGCCAATACGGTGGCATCGGGCCTGAGCCTGCAAGTCGTTCTGAGGGTTCCAATCCGAATCGTAAATGATGACCGTATCGGCAGCTGTTAAATTAATGCCTAATCCTCCTGCTTTAGTGCATAGCAAGAACACAAAACGATCCGATCCTGGCTTGGAATAACGATCGATGGCCTCCTGCCGGAGATTTCCTCGAATTCGTCCATCAATTCGCTCAAAGGGATACTTTCTATAGACCAAATAGTCCTCTAAGATATCCAAACAACGCACCATCTGACTAAATATGAGCACTCGATGACCATTTGCTTTGAGTTTAGGTAGCAATTTATCAATTAAAACCATTTTACCAGCGGAGAGAATCAGGTTCTTGTAATAAGACTCTGGATCTTCACCGTGCTGGGATTTGAAATCGTACTGGATTTGTTCCTCAGCTCCATTTAAAAGATAGGGATGAATGCAGCACTTTCTCAACTCCATCATTGTGTTCATCAGGTTGGGTATATTTGCTGAGGTGGTTCCTTTTTTCAGGAAACTAAAGTTCTGCTCCAGGATTCCTCGATAGTATTTCTTTTGTATGTTAGTAAGCTCCACTTCGATAATGGTTTCTTCCTTGGGTGCCAAACTTTTCTCCACATCGTCCTTAAGACGACGCAGCATCATGGGTTTTAGTAAAGCTTGCAGTTTATTTACCTCCTCCTCAGTGCGGAGACTTCCAAACTCGGACATGAACTCCTCCTGCGAGGAGAATTGCGAGGGTTCCAGGAAATTAAGCAGCGAGAACAATTCGCTGATGTTGTTTTGAAGGGGAGTTCCGGAGAGCAGTACCCTATGTTCCAAATTTAGCTGCCGCAGACCCTCAAGGAGCTTGCAATTCCTATTTTTCAGACGATGTGCTTCATCAATTACACAAAGGCGCCAGTTGAACGCTTTTAAATCCATGTAATCCGTCACGATCATTTCGAAAGTGGTGATCAAAACGTTAAATTTGATAGGTTCCTTCAACACCTTTCCGCTGTCTGTCTTATAATAATATTCATAGTCCTGAATCATTTGTTTGCTGGTTACCGAACCATGATACACCACCACGTTCATATCCGTCCAGCCTTCGAATTCTCGCTGCCAGTTGGGTATCGTGGAAAGAGGAGCTATTACCAAGAAGGGACCTCTGATTCCGTACTCATAAACAGAGTGCACAAATGTCAAACTCTGGATGGTTTTTCCTAGACCCATTTCATCGGCCAGTATGCAATTGTGAGTATTGTACCAGGAAAACTTTAACCAATTGAGACCCTCCAGTTGATAGGGTCTCAGGCTATTTCCTCCCTTGTAGATTGGAGTCTTCTCGAGTTTTTTCCAAAGTTCTGGATGCGGACGTTTCTTGGCCTTCCACTCGCACCTTAACGGAACTTTGTTGAAGCGCAGATACTGCTCAATCTTGTCGTTATCTACATCTTCTTCCAACTCCCAGGTGCAGTCTTCATATGGAAGTGACTTCCACTTGACCAGATAGTGCTTGGTGGTCTCCCCACTGGATTCATCCGTGTGAACGGACATGTCCAACACCCGATCAACTTCTGTAAAGTCCTGATTGAAGGGCTCGTCCTCGATGTTCTCAAATATGTTTAACTGCTGAGATTGCTTCTGCTGGAAGCGGCGAATCTTGGCAGCCACGCGACGATCGCCTTTGAGCAGTTCCTCTTCAGTTCTCCACTCGCAATGTAGGTAACTGAAATTGCGGTATTTAACAAAGTACTCCTCTACATCGATAAAGACGGGTTCAGGTTTGTTTTCCTTGTCCGCTTCGTTTTCGTCGCCAGTCTCATTCTTTCCGGGTTCTTCTGTCTCCTTGTTTGGCTCTTTTTCGCCTTCATTTTCCAATGTTTTCTGATCTTTTTCTGTAGTAGCCTCTTCAAGTTTAGATTCGTCAATGAACTTTTCTTCTGATTCTTCTTTGGATTTAGGTGACTTGGCTTGTCCTTCCTTCTCATCTACTTCCATTTTTTCGGCGACAGTCTCTATTTTCTTGGCCTCCTCCGCCTCTTCAATATTTGAAGATTTGTCTTTTTCAATAATTCCAGAATTTTCTTCTGTTTCTGATTGCGCTCCTGTCTTATTTTCTTCAGCTGATTTTTCAACTTCATCATCTACGTCCATTTTGTCTCCATCATTATTGTCCTCGTCAGGTTTTTTAGTATCCACCGGCTCTAATTCTTCTTTGCTTTTCACTTCCATTTCGGAGGTTTCGGTTTTTTTTTCCTCTGCATCAGTTGAATCCTCTTTTGATTCACCTTCTTCACTCTTTGTTTTGACGTTTTCTTGGTCGTCAACATTTTCAGCTGATGCTTCTTCAGATCCCGATTTATCTTCCTCATTTTTGGGTTCGCTTGGCTTTTCCTTCGGTTTTTCAGGGATGAGTTCACGTTTTCCCATTCGTAATGCCAGGACTAATTGTACCACCATGCTGTCTTCATCACCAGTGTTTATGTACACGTAATTGGGCTTGGAGGATATGGCTGCGTTGGCGGCATCGCTGGAGATTTGTCGCTCCTTTTCCACTGCTGCCGCCGCTGCTGCTGAAGTGCTCGAACTGGCTTCCAGTTGGCTACTTTCGTCTATCGGTAGATTAGACTTCTCATCACCCACCTCCTGGCCAGGTTCTCCTTCGGCGCCAGACTGCGGCTCCGCTTTCTCCACATCACTGCCTGCATTGGAATTAGCCGCATTCGTGGAAGATTTTTTATCCTTCTTTACTGGAGAAGCCACCAACAGAGAGTTTTCGTCATCGGAGAATCTTAGCATTACATCATCGATGTATTTTTTCCGTTGAGTATTTCTTGAAGATCTTCGCTTGTTGGAATCAAGCTCAGAGTCTGGAGGAGGTGATGGAGGTGGAGTTCTGTCCATTGTGTCATCTTCTCCATCGGATTCGGGTACAATCCTACCCCTGTTTCTTCGCTTTTTAAGTGCCTTGGCGGAGAGAGATCCACGATTCTTGCGCGCACTGCCTCCTTCCTCGGAATTGGCATTGCGACGACTCCTGGCGGTGGATCGCTTGCGATCTCTTCTGCTTGGAGTGGAGGCAGGATCTCCTGCTGAATCTGGAACAGAGTCTACTGTTTCATCCCCGGCCTCGGCGTCCTTATCGTCTTCATTGGCGCCTCGGGGAATTTTCGAGACGGGTATGTCATCGTAGTCTGGAGATTCTCCATCTACACCAGTTCCTCCCGAAGTGGTTTCCGCTTCACCATCAGCGGATCCCGCTTTGGGCACCAACGGCTTGTTGTCCTCTACTTCGCTGCCCTCTCCAGTTTGTTCAGTTCCATCTTCTCCGTACTGTTTCCTGCGCTTACTAACACTTGCTCGTTTTCTTCCCGCAGCTGGTGGCTCAGTAGAGTTTGGATCATTAGGATCCTTAGGCTTTTTAACCTTCGGCGTCCTATCCCTCGGAGGTTTATTTGGATCCTTGGGTGTCCTAGGCTTGCGTGGCTTCTTCTTTTTGCCACTGCCGTCGGTGGAAGTATCCAGTTCATTAGCTGAGTGCACATCTTGCGAGAGATCACCCATGCCCTCGCTATATTCCAGCAAGCCGACCACGCTAGTATCCCCCGCTCCTTGTGTCACACAGTCCTCGGAGACGGGCAGCTGTGTCGTTGGGATACTTGGGATGGCATTGGCTGCTCCCACCACCACATTGCCGCTGATATCCATCAGATCCTGCTGCTGACTTACTTGACCCTTTTCGCCCTTCTTGGCACGGGGTTTGCGTGGTTTGTTTGTCCCTTTTCCCCGGCCTCTTCCTGTGGTACTGGATACTTGAGGGCTTTCTACCATTTGCTGATTGAGCAAGGGATTTCCTGGGGGTCCATACATTGGCGGAACGTTCTGGAAGAGCAAGCATTGTGGACCGCCGGCACACTGATCGTTTATTTCGTGCTGCGTCAAAAGATTTAGGCGCTCCTGCATCCGCATCAACTTATCTTGGTGCTGGAGCTCGTGTCCTGGAGGCATACAATACAGTTCCTGAATCTGCTGCTGCAGTGCAGCTATTTCTTGTTGGTGCAACATCGGATAAGGTGGATACATTCCAGGTGTCCCTCCATATGGAGGCATCATTGATGGTATGTGACTTTGTCCCTGAGCCTGGGTCTCGTATCCAGGAGCCATGGGATGCATGGGCAGTGCCATGGGAGGTATCTGTTGCTGAGGCGGTTGACCCGCTGGGGTGGTTGGCTCGGTTAAGGTCCCCAGACCAGTTGCAGATTGCGATTTATCCTCTCCCAATTCCTCTATGATTTTAGGTTCCTCTGATAAAGACGTAGACAAATCCGCTGAAGGTTGACCCAGCTGAGTTTGTTCCATCTCTTCAGAAGGCTTATCCTGCACATCCTCCTGGATTGCTGGCAATTCTGAGCTTAGAATTGTTTCATGGGTTTTAGAAACACTTGTCTCATCCTGTGGCAACTCAGTTTCATTGGCAGAAGCTCCACCCACGCCACCAAGTCCTTCACCTTCGCTCTGGTTCTTCTCAAACTCTGCATTCGACGACTGCGAATTACTATCCAGAAGTGCTGCTGCTGCAGAAACTGCATTGGAGGCCACGGCAGCTACTGCTGCGGATGTGGATGACATGGAGTTGTTATCGAAAAGGCCGACATCTACTCCAACATGCTGAACAGATTCCGAATTTCCTCCATGCGAATTCGTGTTGTCCATGAGCAACTGTTGCTGGTTGTTGCTGCTGCTGTTAATGCTGCTTTGCGAGTTGCTGTCGTGTACCGAAGTGGGCTGGTTGTTGACAATGCTGTTAGTGCTACTGTTGCTGCTGCTGTTGTTGCTGTCATTAGCAGCCACTGCCAAAGTGGAGGAATCATTCGAGTTGGCTGTTTCATTGAGAATGCTGCTCAGGTGATGTGAAGGTGTCGAAGGTTGCTGCTGCTGCTGAGCCTGCGGCACCTGTTGTTGCTGCGTTTGTGGAACTTGCTGAGCTGGCTGTTGTTGGGTCTGCTGTTGCATTTGCGCAGGTATTGGCGAGCTTACATGAGCAGGCGACATTGTCTGTTGGGCTGCAGGTTGTTGATTTTCTCCTAGTATGTTAGCAAATGGATCGAATTGCTGCTGCGACTGATTGTAGCTGGGTAAATGTTGCTGGTGGTGCGGTGACTGTTGCTGCTGCTGCTGGTGTATAGGTGACTGATGTTGTATTTGCTGGTGGTGCGGCGATGTTAGAGTCGCCTGCGGTTGCTGTTGTGCCGTTTGCTGTTGCTGCTGCGGCGGTTGTGCTGTCTCCATGGTGGGCTGTATCAAATGGTGCATGCTGGGCAGACTTTGCTGGTGCAACGGCGACGTCATGGCCGCCAGTTGGGGTTGCTGCTGCTGTTGGGTTTGAGTGGGGCCTGTTGCTCCACCACTATTACCTCCCCCAACAATATCGTTGATAGAGTGCTGCAATTGATCATTTAGTGTTTGCTGCTGGTGTTGCTGTTGCTGTTGTTGCTGCTGCTGCTGGGGGGTGGCCACCACTGGAGGTTGTGAAGCCACTGGCGACACAACTTGTTGCTGAGGGGTTTGAGACTGTTGCTGCTGTCCCATCGGCTGACCATACATATTCAGCTGTTGCTGGTGATGTTGCGCCTGCAACATGGCCGCCTGCTGCTGCTGCGGCGGTGCCTGTTGCTGCTGTTGCTGCTGTTGCGCCTGCTGCTGTTGTTGTTGTGCCTGCTGCTGCTGCTGCAGTGCAGCCAAGTGCTGAGTGCCATGGGTCGTGCCCCATTGTTGATGGTGTTGTTGCTGCTGTTGCTGCGGGGATACGGGCATCCTGGGTCCCACAGAACTTCTGTAAGCCGATGGGTAATCCATGGGTGGCAACCCGAGAGCCTGCGACGGCATCACCATTTGTTCAAGGGCCTGTAATGTGTTAACGGGAGCAGCAACTGGTGCTGGACCCTTCGCTCCTGGTCCCCCAGCTCCACTTGTGGGCGGTTGGGGACGCGGCGACGGCAGACCCACCATGCCTTGAATACTGTGCTGGCTGGGCTGATTGTTCACCACCTGTTGTGGCTGCTGTGCCTGTGTTTGTTGTTGCTGCTGTTGAGGGGGCGGTGGTTTTGCCGGTGACACGCCCACTGGTCGCGGAGACATTTGTGGATGCGGCGACATTGTCGGCGGTCGTGGCGACATTTGAGGCGAAAGCTGAGGGAAAGGAGCGCGGTACTGGGGCGATGAATTTAGCTGAGCAGCCGCCTGTTGATGTTTGCTGCTGGACATGTAAGGCGGAGCTGCCTGCTGCTGTTGTTGTTGGGCTTGTTGCTGCTGCTGATGGTGGCTCCCGTAACTAGGCGGCATTCCCATGTGTGGTGGCGGTAATCCAGCGCCCGGCAACTGTTGCTGCTGCATCAACGAGACGTGAGGTTGCTGTTGCTGCGCCTGCTGTTGCTGCTGCGATTGGAGCTGCTGCTGCTGGTGGGCCCCCAATTGCTGCGCAGCCTGCTGCTGCTGCGCTGTCAAGTGGTGGCCTGGTGGCGCTGCACCCGGCACATGTTGCCCGTACGCTGAAGCCTGATCCAGTCCTGTGTGACCGTAACCCACGTGTTGGGGCGCTCCTCTGCCCGGTTGATGTTGCATGGGACTCCCGTACGGACTGTGAGCATAAGCTTGGGGCGTGGGAGGTTGTCCCGCCTGGACAGTGGGTGCTCCCACGCCAGGATACAACGGATGCTGCCCCGGAGCCTGCGGATAATGCTGCGGCAGTCGAGCCTGCTGCTGACTCTGCTGCTGCTGTTGTTGTTGTTGCTGCGCCTGCTGCTGCACCTGCTGTGCTTGTTGTTGCACCTGCTGCTGCTGCGGCGTGGGCGGTTGCTGCTGCTGTTGCTGCTGGGGTGTAAGCGTTCCATAGCCCGCCATCATGCTCTGCTGCGCACCATAGGACGCAAGTTTCTGCTGCTCCTGTTGTCCGTAGGCGGGCATGTGCTGGCGGTATGCGCTGGCGTTGCTCTGGCGCTGCTGCTGCGCCGGTGGAGCTGTCTGCGGATGGCCATAGGCCCCCAAACCGGCCCCGGGATAAGCTGCTGCCTGGCCCGGAACCGAAGGCGCCGCTCCCCAACCGCTTAGGTCGCCCATTCCGGCGCCAACTCCCACTCCAACGCCGAGGCCAACGCCCATGGCCGCCTGGTGATCGGCGGCCCCCAGCCCGTAGAGATTCTCCGCCGTTGGCTGGTACGATGGATATTGGGGCTGTTGCTGTAGCGGATGTGGTGGGCGGTGGCGCGGCGGATAGCCGCCAGGCGGTCCCATTGCCCGAGGATTTGCCGCGGCGGCTGCTGCTGCGGCAGCTGCGGCATCATAACGGTAATAGGGATCTCTGCCGGACCAAGAGAGATTGAATCATTAGAAACAATATACAAACATTTTATTTTGTTAAAATTAATAGAGTAGACAATTTTTCTCAAAAATACGAAAAAAAATTAAGAAATAATTTTTTAATAAATAAGAAATTAGTTAGACGGACAGGAATTTAAAAGTTTATGTGCTTTAAAATTACGGCTATAAAATTATCAATTAAAATAAATTATAATCTTATACATGATATATCTATTAATTTAGGCCCAATAATAAGTCTTGATAGCCTTTTTTCCCCGACACTTAGGGTGACAAAAAAAATCAAAGATGTCAGAAAAACTCACCCTTGATGATTTCCGTGAAACATATTTTGTGCATTTCCATCCATCAGATTATTGAAACGCAGCGCACACAGAAATGTCCGTTACGCGTCGAAGGACGCCGCTGCGTTTTATGTTTGGTCGTCTATTGGCTTAATTTTGATGCTGCTCTCTGCGCGTGGCCGTTGTTAAGAAGTCGAAAATTCGAATAGTAGCCGGTGACTGAGAACCAGACGGTGTGGGTGGAAAAGTTCCACTTTTCAGGGGGTTCGGATATTGTTTCCAAGCTGCTCACTTTACCCCTGCGATCTGGTGTCTCTCTCCGCCTTCGTCTTGTCGATTATGATTATAAATTTGTTGGTAGCGGGTTCTAACTACTAAACTTAATTACAACTGGTGTGCAATTTAACGTCTTGTTGTTGCTTTTATATGGTACAGTCATTTGTGTCTCGTGTTTCGCGCACTTCATGGCCGACCTTTGACATATTCGCATTGAAACACATTCGCTCACAGCTGCAAAAAAAACATTTCGGAAAGATTTCGTATTGGTAGGTTAGTATGGGTTAGTATCGATCAAATTCGTATAAAAGGTTTCACGTTAAACGGTAATTTCTCAGCGGATAGTAGAGCATTGTTCTAATTTTGAACATATTTTAAGCGTTTGTTTGCATTTCGGTTCGAGTTGTGTATAAAATATAATGGATCTGTAAAGAGAAGAGAAAAAAGGGTAATTAGTCAAAATAGTTGTTAATGCATATTTTGTAAATTGTCTGTGTTCTGTTATAAAAAGTAACAGAACACAGAAAATTTGCATCTATTTAATATTCTGATAGTAACGTCACGTAAATTCAGGGTGATTCGGTATCAATTTACCAGCTATCAATTAAACAGATTATTATAATTTACTTTTTGTATTTTATATTATTCATATTTTTGTCATAGGAACACTTGATTTGATGATTACTTTAAATATGGTCAAAAGGCACATAAATATTAAAATAAATAGTTTTACTCTGACGAATTATCATCCTTTTTGTTGCTGTTGCATTAACTTTTAAGGGGAAAAGCTATACGCTTATGGATTTTAAAGAATGACACATACAACGTACAGTTTCACCCCCCAAAATGTTGAGCAATATTCTCAGGTTGTAAAAGGAATATAAAATTAAAATATTACTTTACTCAGTAAAATTGTTGAAAAGATAATTGACGATTCACTTTAGTTGAAACGGGGGTTAGATATAACTGAGATTGCTTTGGTTTCCTTTGGTTTTGATACCAAGCTTATGGCAAGAGTGAGTGGTGTGTGGATGTAAATCTTGGTTGAAAATCTTTTGCGGCGACAGTGAGAAAAACAACAGAAACTTTATCGATTTTTCACATTGTCTCTGCGGCTGCTTTGCCCAAAAATCTAAAGTAGCAGTGGAAAATACGCAGAGAGCAAAGAAAAAATTGCGGGTGGGTATACTAACTGGTTGTTGTTATCGTTGGAAGCTGCGAGAGCCCAAAGATATGCAAATGCGGCGGGGAGAAGGGGTAGAGGCTGAGAGGTGGCAAGGTGTGGTGTCTGTGCAAATGGAAAGTGGAGAGATATAGAGACAAAACTACAGTGAGTAAATAGAGATATCCACTTACACACACAAACAAACAGACAGCCGAAATTCGCTGCTCAGTGTACTGTATAAATACGTGTGCCAAATTACGAGGATGAGGGTGGGTGGAGAGGAGTCTAGAGCGCAGTCAGTCAACCAGTCACACACTCACCCACCCACTCGCACACAGTTACTATATGGCACATCATCAGAGAAACTTATGTGAAGTGGCTGACATGTACTAAGCGGGCAGCTTAGCACCGCTCGACCCCCTTAGCCACCCACTAGCCCGCCTCCCACCTACCCCTCTTAAACCCCTTTGCCAGCCTGTACCCCCCTTTGCGAGTTTGCCGTGAGTTTTTCGCGCTCATTGGACAATCATTTAGCCAGTCGTCGTGGCCTCTACACTGAGGCAATAAAGAAGCAACTAGTTAAGAAAATACAGTCAATATTTATTAATATTATTAATAAAAAAATTAATATTATGTTATAAATATTATTAACAAGGAGAAACGCCTTCGCTGATACGATACGATAACCTAAATGCCAAATTTATGGCAATTGCAGTTTTCGAGATTTTGACTTTCATTCCGACATGGCTAGATCGATTTGGCTTTTGATCCTGATCAAGAATATATAGACATAATAGGATCGGAATCGTTTCCTTCTTCCTGATGCATAATTTTCAACGGAGTAAAGAAGACAAAACCGATATATATTCTTGATCCGTATCGACCTAGTCGATTTAGCCATGTCTGTTTGTCCGTTCCTAAGCAAACTAGTATCTCCGTTTTGGAGCTGTATAAATGAAACTTTCCCAAAAGTCTTTTGAATAAAATTATAATACACACCCGATAATTAATCGCAGTGTATATTCGTTTCTGTCCTCCCGGCTGCTTTGACTTTGCCGTAATCAATTACATTTCGCTTTTGCAATTTCAGCTATTTATTTATTTAGTTTCAGCTCTTGCCATTATTATAAGGTGAGCGGTATGTACACACGCCCGTACACAATGGTAATGGCATGCGGCGATACTTTATACTTTGTATATCTGGCAGATATCTATCAGTAAATGGTGAGTGTGTGTATGTCGCGTTTTTTCTTCATTCGCTTTAGTTGTTACTTCTTGCCCGCTTCTTCTCATTTTTTGGCGTGGCTATTACACAAACAAATCAAGCAGAGTTATTGCAAAAACAATAAACTAAAAGCAATAGTAATATGCATATGTACGAATGTTTGTGGTATGTAGTAGAGTGGCTTGGTGTGTTTGCTTGTGTGTTTGGGTAAGCAAAGCAGACGTTATAAAAATGTGAAATTATACTTTACTTATTGCCTCTCTCCTCCGTCTCTTCCTATATTTATGTCTATGTCGCTTTGTGTATCTGCGCACAACTGTACGTTTGTTTTAAATAAGCGAAAAATCGATTAAAGGTGATAATAGACAAGCGAATTTCAGCGTGTCCAACGACAAAGACGCGAGCCCACATTTTTGTGACCCGAGGACACCACCAACAATCCAATCCAACAACACCACCACCACCTACAGAATGGCTGATTAGCTTTAGCTTTCGGGTCAGGTCTATTTCTTTTTTTCTGTACTTCATCGTTTTATGAGCCATGAAAATCGTTCTCAAAAAAGTTCACTCAAGTCGCAGTTTTCTCACTGTGAAAAAAGGGTTATCCGTCCATTAGTCTTCATGTCAAAATCTGTAAGCATATACAGCTTTGAGCAAAATACAAGCGTAATTTTAAAATAGGTAACTTTATAAACCTTATATTGTATGGCGTACATATAAAAATAATTTAAATTATACCAATAAGAACAACCAGTTCAAAACATAGCGCATGCTTAAAAAAAGTAAAACTTTTAAGAACGTCACAACAAAAATTTTAAATTCATCATGTTTAGGTATTCTATAAAACTTGTATTGTCCTCATTTATAGTTATAAAGATTTTAAAATATTGCTATCTTTTGCTATTATTTTTCGCATAGCTGTATGAAGCGAATAAGAAACTTTAATGAATAACTCCCCAACCTTACTATTCAACATTTTATAATAACAAACCCCATAAACAAATCCCAAAAAACGAGAAAAAGGTTCATTCACCTTAGTTAGCTCACAATTTTTGACAGTTGCTTTGTGCTCTTGCTTCGCATTTAGGGCCGACTTTGTCTGCTCTTTATCTTTAACTTTTTAAATGTAACAATTTCTGAAGGGGGTGGTGAAGGGGAGTTCAGGCCAACGTGCACAGAAAAAAATATTTGCAAATGCGATTTTAATCTTGCAAATTTTAAAACCAATATTCCATTTTTTTTATTATTAATAATAATAAAAATCATTATCATTGATAAGATTATTATTAAAAATATTTAAAATAATCTTGTTAATTATAATAATTATAATATGGTTATTATTGGTTTATTGTTTTCAAGAATATATTTTCTTAAAATTCCTAAAAAGGCTTTTCTGTTATGCAGGACATTTGTATTGTTGTGACTCATCCAAGCCCACTTATAAAGTATTCTTATAAAGAAAACTTACTACGAATTTATTTAAGCGGTGGAATATAATAAGAATTTGGATTGGGAGTATATGTACATATGTATTTTGAAGATTTTAGTAATCACTCTTCATGACATTATTTTTTGCACTGCTAAACACAAAGGTGTTTGCAGGTGTCGTCATAAACTGAAAGCCCCTGAGGCTAACATACAACGGATGATGTTTATGTACAAACAAATGAATCCGGCTTTAATAACAATCAAGTCAAGTGGCTGGGTTCGCACTAACAGTAACTAAAAAGTACAGTTGGTTATTGTAAGAAAAGCAACATTCAACGGCGGCCGCCAAGTCCGTCACTCAGCGCGGTCCAAAAAGAGGCAAAGAGCGGCTAAAACATAAAGGAGGAGACAGAAGCATAAGCAGAGCAGAGACAGATGGGCGCAGCAGCAAAATGCGCACACAGACACACACGCCAGGCACGGACGTATGTACATAAAAATGGTAATAAAATAGGTAAAGTAACAGCGGCAGCTGTAGCAAAAGAAGAAGCACAAGAGCAGAAAGCCACACACAGTTTTCGGAAAAGCTAAAGAGCTTAACTGAGAGCCTTCAGCCAAAACTCACACACTCTACAGACACACAATAAATAACAAACCACAAAAGTTCCATGTGAAAAAATTACAAACACGTCGCAGCCTTTTAAAAGTGTAACGATACATTTGTAGCATTTCTTATTTCCTGTAATACAAATTAAAACATAGCTTCTTAGCAAAAAAAAAATTGTGCTTTCCAGCTTATTTTGGGACTAGCAGATGTAATCATTAGGTATTTATTGTATTGAGTACATGTTTAGATTTGTTTTATTTTGCTTAAAATAACGAAGTCATAGTTAAATGAGCTTTAGTTTCCATTTAAAAGACAATATATAGCCAATAAAAAGCACTAAGAATTTCATTCCAAATATGTAAATAACAATATTTATGACAGTGTCAAAAATGTGTAAACTCGTATTTTTTTGCTTACAAGTTTTCCCTTGCGTTGTTATGTTTTTATTTTTGTACATACTCATTAAAAAGTTCCTACACTCACTCGCATATCTCTGCGTACACCCCAAAAAAATTTTAAAATCTAACTTTAAACCCTAGCTGTTCGGCCATTTATGCATATATTCAACCCATTCTTTTTTTTAAACATAATTATAATTTATTGTCTTCATTGACGTATTTTTTTTTAAATTATTCAACAGTGTTTTATATTTTATTTTTAATTTTAAACTTAACACTACCAAAAAATGTACCCGCAAAAGTCTGCGTACACCTGTTTAAAACACAAATAATATTATTTTTAGTAACTGGTAGGATATCCTTTTCTCTGCAAAACTTCCGTAAGGCGTCTCGGGATGGAATCCACTTTTT